GTGCAAGTCCTGGATCTGGATCACCATGGGGACCACCAAAAGGTGAGAGGTGGGAGATATAATCCCCTCCTCTCCCCCCCAGCTTTTCTCTTCTGCCCCCCCACCCTCAACTTCGCTCCCCCCCCAACTCTTCGAACGAGACACCCTCGAACCCCCTTCTTCACGGCATTCTACTGATCCACCTTGGCACCATATCCCATTTGAGAAGAAGAGCTGCCCCCCTTCATGATGCACGGTCCCGCGACCAACGGCTGGCGACTGAATGACTATGGCCCATGCCCCATGACCCCCTAGGCGGCGGGTAGGGGAGGGGTCTGAGAAGAGGAGGAGGGCGTAGAGCCTAACGTGAGATGGGGCATAATCAGCATAGTCTATTCGTCGGTCAGTCAGTGGTAGGTCGAACAACCAGCTGGGCATCAACGGCGACACTACGGTGCCGATGGTGCTCGACGGGAACGCGATCGCGTATCGCGTTGCTGACTGGCTCAAGGTGGTCAGGGCCTTCAGCTTCCCGCTCGTGATTCTCGTGGAGCAGCCGATGTCGAGCCGCTTCTTTGCGTTTCCGCCCATCGTGCGCGAGATGGGCTTGGACCTCGACGAACAGACGCGCAGGCGCGCGATTGTGAAGAGCAAACGCGCGTTTGCTCTCCACCATCCGTTATTCAGCCTTCCTTCTCCTCTCCTCCTTCTCGACCTTGTCCTCGCCTCCCACTCCTGTCCATCTCATCTCCGAGCCAGCGAGGCTCATGAACAGCGGCATCCACAAGTGGAACCGCGCGGTGTTCCGCATGTCGGCCTTCGGCCACGCGAACGCCAAGCCCACCGTTCTCTACGCGAACAAGGAGTGCACCTGGATTCAGAAGTTCGTCAAGGAGGCCGCCTTGCGGCGCAAGCCGAGGGATCGGCAAGGGTCCCAAACGTGGCCTCGGCCCTCCGCGTCTCCAGAGGGCGTTCAGGATATCAGGGCGCCTGAGGCCCCCAGGATCAGAGGCCCTGGTCGGGCCTGCGTCTGACGCTGCCAGCCCTCGCCCCTGAGCCTGAGATGAGGATGAGGAGATGAGGAGTCCCTGAGGAGGAGTTGGAGAGGAGTGGAGGAGAGGAGAGCAGAGGAGGACGCGAGAGAGAGAGAGAGAGAGAGAGAGAGAGGGGCAAGGGGGAGGAGACGAGAGGATGATGCGGTGAGGAGGAGAGGAGGTGAGGAGGCGAGGAGGACAGGAGGTGGTGAGGAGGAGTCCGAAGGAAAGGAGGAGAGGACAGAGCAATATACAGAGAGAGAGAGAGCGGCTTGCGGCGGCCTGCCCCAGGATCTGCAGCTCGGGAAGCCGCTGGCGGACAGGGCGGGGTCCGGCAAGTGGGTCAACGGCAGCAAGAAGCGGCTCCGGAGCTCTGCGGCCTACCCGCCTGGGTTCGGGGACGAGCTCATTTTCTCTTTCATGGCGGGCTTCGCTGAGGCAGCTCTGAGAGAGGGAGAAAGAGAGACTGGGAGGTGCGAAGATACGAAGGACTGAGAGGGGGGGAAAGGAAAGGAGAAGGAGGAGGGCAACAAAGGCAAGGAGATGGGGAGCAGGAGCAGGAGAGAAGAGGAGAAGGATGGGTGGAGGAGGAGACGAGGAGAGCAGGAGAAGGAGAGGTGGACAGGAGGAAGGAGGAGAGGAACAGGACAGGAGGACAGGGAGAGATGAAGGACAGGAGGACAGGAGGACAGGAGGAGATGATGGACGGGAAGACAGGGGGGGGGCAGGAGGGCAGGAGGACATGAGCCCGCGCGCAATCGCCCCCGACCCGAGGTGACGGCCATGGCGCTCCTCGGCCTCAAGCTCGCCGTGCCAGCCATCTTCAAGAACTTCGAGCTGGCCTCCCCGAGCAGCATCACGCGCATCACGCGCGTGATCAGTTCCTTCCTGTGAAGAGGCAGTCAGCGCATGTATGTGGTGAAGTAGGGCGCCTGCTTCGCAATCGGCATTTGCTTCTACGCGTCGACCAGCCCGCTTGGCTGGCAACCTCCACGCTTCGAGTATTCTAGGCTTCGACCACGCTTTTTTGCGTCGACGCTTCGGCCCATAGCTTCTGCGTCGCTGGTGCTGCACTTCGGCCTGTGCGCATCTCTCCTCGTTCTAACGCTGGTGGTCACCGCGACCTCCGCCATTGCATTGCGCCGCAGTGATTTCGGGGCCATCTGCCGACGTGGCCAGCGCGGGGCAAGAGTCGGCAGCGCAATGCTGCGCACCGTAGTCTGAATGCGACGGGCGACACGTGCAAGCGTGCCTCGAGGATGGAGGGGGACAGACCAAAACGTAGTTGTGGAGATGGTGGTGGGGGAGAATGGCGGAGAATGAGGAGCAGGAGGGTCATGGCAAGAAGATGGGATGGGCACAACAAAGAGGAAGCGACGCTCTGTTGCTAGCAGCTCTCGGGAGCAGCAGCGACGCATGGTGGCGAGTTGGAAACGACTCGAGCGGTGTTCTCGCTCTCTCTCTCTCTCTCTCTCTCTCTCTCTCTCTCTCTCCCCACTCCCTCCCTCTCTCGGCCCCCCCTCCTGCCCTCGCACGTCGCACTCCCTCAGCTGACTCCTCTCGCTCCCCTCGAGCCTTTTCATGCCATGCCGAATGGTTCCCCACCTACCTCTTACTTGGTGGTGTTTCCTCACCCGCTCCCTCTCTCTCATCTCATCTTCTCCTCTTCTCCTTGGTCATTGGTCATTGTCCATTCGGCCCATCCCTCTGCGTGGCCAGCGCCAGGTCCTTGGACCTCTCGGCGCCCCTCCCGACTCCTACCCTCCTCAAGCCTCATGCCCCTGCGCGCTGCTTGAAGCCCTATCCCATTCCCCCTCGCACTCGCGCATCGGATGGCGGCCGCCGCAATGGCGGCCTAGACTCCCCCCCTTCAACCAGGGCTGTTGCTCACCCCCGACTCAGCTTCATCATGAATTATGACTCATCTCTGCCCCTTCCAACCCCTGCCCCTCTAGAGGGCCCCTCTGCGCTTCTGCTACTCGCCCTTTCTGTTTCTGCTGAGGCTCTTCCACTGGCTCCACTGACTCCAGACAGATCAGGGGGGGGGCAGGGAGATAAAGGGCAGGAGGGATGAGAGGGATGAGCGAGGAGACAGAGGGTCGCGGCCGCGGGCACTTGGGGAGGAGGACGACGACTCACCCCCCTCCTCAGGATGAGGAAGGATGAGCAAGGATGAGGAGGAGCAGGAGGAGGAGGAGAAGCATGAGGAGCCCTGAGGAGAAGGACTGAAGTGGTTTGGGTTCCTTTCGGATGCTCTGGCCCACCTGCTTGTGCCTTGTGCCCCCCTGCGCAGCGCGGCGGCCCCCGCCGTCGGGTCTTGCCCCCCCCCCCCCCCCGGCGCGCGAGGCGCCTTCGTGCTGCTCGGCTCGGCGGCGGTGGCGGCGCAGCGCTGCCCAGAGCGGCCTCGTCGAGGATCGCCGACGGCCCCGCAGCTGCTCGGGGGCCTGGAACCAGGAAGGAGCAGGAGGTGGAGAGGGCGGGAACGGATGGCGCAGGCCTTTGTCGCGGCGAGCCCAGAGGAGGATGGGGAGGAGGAAGGAGGTTGAACGGGGAGGATGGAGGAAGGCAGGGGAGGGAAGGGAGGGGAGGGAGGCCGAAAGGAGGGAGTAGGGAGGAGGAAGGGAGGACGAAGGAGGGAGGACGAAGGGAGGGGGAGGAGAGGAGAGAGAGAGAGGAGTGAGGACGAAGGAGGGAGGAACGAGGTTTTGAAGTTTTGTGACAGGCTTCCCGCTCGAGACATCCTCACCCCCGAAGGGGCGGCGTTTCCTTGAGACTGATCGCAACTCTGAGAAATTGCGTAGCCCGCAGGACTCAATGAGCAGCGGCAGCAGAGACGCCTTCCTGGCAGACATTGCGCAGGCAGCAATTGACAAGCGGCTTTGGGATAAGCTCGCAGAGGACAAAATTGGTTTCCATGATGCAGCACACCTTGTGTGCTGCGCCTTAGGGCGCGGATGCCTGGAGAGCACCGTGCCAGTCGGCAGATTGCAGAGCAGAGTGAAACGTTACATCGGGCAGCAGCAGGAGGCAGTGGCGTCGGACTCAACGTTTAGTCTTTCCCAGCTCCCTGAAGTCCTTGAGCAGTTTTGCAACGTGCTGATTACGGAAGACGAACTGAAGGCATTCAAACAGCAAGTGGTGGCATGCGCTCCTGTGAAGAGGGCGCCGCATGTGAGAATGATGCCGAAGCGAGGGCAGAAGCAGAAGCAAGCCAAAGCAGCGTCGTCCGACCCTCCCATCCAAGATGAGGGCAACCACGAGCTTGGCGTCATGGCGCCGTTAGCGCAAGCTGCTGCCGATGATCTTTATGTCGGCATGCCCACAGACAGCCTCGTCGAGGCATTGCACGACAAAGACGAGCAACTCGAGAACATGCGCGCTGAACTGCGCCGCGTAAAAGAGTCCCGTGACTATTACTTCGAGCGCAGCAACGAACTCAAGCAAGTGGTCACAGCCATGGAACATGAATATAAAGAGCTCCACGATAAAGTGTGGTTGCGTGGCCAGAAAGGGGCCATAACCCCTTATGGCGGCTACGCGCTAGCACTCAGGAGGAACGCGGGCCATGCAGGCGGCCAGACAACTTTAGCCATGATCGCAGCCGACGAATTACGAGGGGGATTCTCACTTGCAAGCAAGCGCATGGTATACGCATATGAACACAAGGCTGCCTTGGCTATTCGGTTTCGCTCCTTGGTCGCATACGAACATATGGACGCCTGCCCGATTCAAGTGCACCAACTCAGGATGGACGCAACGCACCAGCAGGCCATCGACAAAGATAAAATCCATGTTGCCATGGCTTCGACCCTCGGCTGCTGAACCCTGACCTTTGACGAGCAACAATTCGAGGCAGGTCTCATATACACAAAGAACGCGTGTGACCTTCAAGTAGTACATCACGGGACAGGGGAGGAGACGTATAGCTTAGCGCTCCGCGAGCTGGAATCCATATCGTGCCCCGCGTGGGAGGCGCGCGTCCATGAGGCCTCGGGCGACAACCCCGCCAACCTGCTGTCAATTTACTGTCTCGGGGTAGATGCAGGCCCAGACAACAAAGGCATGATCAACATCTTGAGGAACTTCGTGGCAGCCTGTAGGAAGGTCTCTTTCGTGGTCGTGTTCTGTAAATTCCACCAGGCCCACATTATAGCTGGAGCGGCGCTGACAGCGCTGGACGAATGGGAGTGGCAGACAGGAGAAGATGAGGTGGAGAAGCAGAACATGAACACCAACATTAAATACTGGAGTGCGGTGGCCACAGTGGCCAATGTATGGCGGAGCCCAGGTACCCACAGGAAGCTTCAAAATGCCGCCTGCGACGCGTTCTCGAATCAGATCTCCCTTGAATTCTTCAGCAAACAGCCAGGCCGCCCACTCAAAGGAAGATGGGGCCGCGTCGAGTCCGTGGAACAGATCATATGCGCTGGGAGAGCCTTTTTGGGCAAGGTGTTTGCCCGCGTTTTCGGCCAAGCAGAGCAGCAGGCACAGAAAGAAAAGAAGAAACCTGCCAAGAAAGCTGGGGGGGACGAGGATAAGAACTTCAAAGAAGAATGGACCAAGTACAGGAGCAATTCAACAAAGGCCTTGAACCAGGGGGGGTTCCACGCGAAAGTGTACATATCAGTATATGTGAAACAGCCACTCACGTACTTCTTCAACTGGGCCCAGAAAGCAGTGAAGCAGCGCAGCAAGATGAGCCAGGAGTCGATCGACAACATCGGTGCCCCGCCAATGATCCACACTCCTCTCAGTAAGCTCGTGGGGTTCCAGGCGGCGGAGGTAAGCGCCAGGTACTCGGCCTTGCTCGACAACAGCCAGCTGGAAGCGCGAACTGGCCTGGCACCAGTGTTCGAGTTGATCCCTGCCCAGTACGGCCACGATGTGCGTGAACTTGTAGTGGGGCTGGTCCTCCTTCAGGCGGCGCAGTGGAACATGAGGTTCACGGTGCCCTGTGAATCGTTCCCTTTACTTCTGCTCAGGATGGTCGAGGAGCCGCCCGACGTCGACTCCCGCATCCGGAGGCACGTTGCCCGAAAGCTCCTCGCGACGCCAGAATGCTGCTTGAGAACTGCAACAGAAGACGTGTCATGGAAACTGCGAGTGGCCTATGAATCCGAGTGGACCAGCGCGAGAGACACGGGCAAATGCAGTGGAACGTTGTTCTCTGCAATCCTCATGCTGAGAGCGCAACTGCCCATAGACACGCAGGAAATCGAAGGGATGAACAGCATATTACAATGCATGTCAGACAGAGCTCCATTTCTCAAGTTACCGCTAGCATCCGATAGAATGCAAATAAAGAAAGCGAGCCGTATCACTCCAGATGACTGCGTGTGTCTGCACCATGCCGTGGTGGCGAAGCAGCAGGAGACAACGTACCTCCACAGATTCGAGAAACTCGAAGACGGTGTCCTCAACCAACTCGCCCAGACAGCAGATGATCACGACCCTTGCCCCCACGAGGCAGGCCCGCTGCAAGTATTGGCTATCCGATTTGCATTGGGCGCCGCGAGAGACTTGGATGCCGACGTTGGCAAGGTGTGGACAGTTGGGCAGGAGAACGTGCCAGACTTCGTGATCTGCTGGAAGTACGGGAAACGCTTGTGGTTAGCCCTCGGAGAGACTCACGATGTAAATGGCCAGCTGTTCTTCCAGCTCAGCCTGCCAATCTTTACGATGCCGCTCACAGAGTACCTTGTAGCGTTCAAGCTAATCCACACGCACGACCCTGAAGCAGCAATCAAACGCCCTCGCCGCCACCAATTACGAGTTAGTGTGCGACGAGGCCGCTGGGAGCAACTTGACTTAGCCTGCTTGGACATGCACTCCACAGAGGAGAAAGAGATACGCCCTGCAAGTAAGAAGCATAAGAAAAAGAAGCCATACAAAAAATACAAAGGCCCCGACGGAGCGAGCCATGCCCTCGAGCCACTGCGCGATGAAGAGGGAGAGGAGGATGCAGAGGAGGACGACGCAGACGACGACCTCGACGTCGAAGGATGGTTGGAATTGCTACTGGAGGGCTGCGACGAAGAACCAGCACCAGAAGAGGATGAGGACGCTGCGGCGGTGGAGGAAGCAGAGGACAAACCACTCGACGAGGACGGCATAGATGACGAAGGGGAGGATGAGGAACCCCGAGAACCAGACACACACGTCCAAAGCATACCGTCCCTGCAGCAAGAGGAGGAAACGAGGTTGCGAGATAAGGTGAAGGCTGGCTCAGCAAGAGTGAAAGAGGCGAAGGCGCGAGCAGATGCCCAATCAGAGGGCACGCACCCGCTAGCACCAGGAGTCATCTCCTTGGTCAGCCTTGCAGGGGCTGCTGTGTTTGTGCGGTGGCAAGCAGATAAGGGCATGATGCGCCAACTCTTCCTCGACAATAAGAACCGCCTGAAGTATGTAGTCGGTGGCGAAGCGTGCCCGCTGATGAACTCAGAAAAGTTGAATGCGAAAATCCTGATCAGGGACACGGGCACCACGCTGCACAAAGCAAAAGCGCATGAACAAGACACAATGCCATCGTGGTGCTTATTGTTGCGGCAGCACTTCAACATCGTGAACTTCAGGGGCCCTTTGAGCGCAGCGGCAAGGGAAGAACAGTGCGCAGTCTGCGCGTCTGTCATAGCCCCCCCGCCATTGATAGGCCCGAATGCAGACATCTTCGGCTGACCTGAATGCATGACCAGCTGGCACAGAGCCTGCGCCCAAAGCACATCGACGCACGAGTGCGATTGGGATGACTTTGTGTGTCCTGTGTGCGAGAGCCACGTGTGATGCAGCGCAACAGCAGACGCCAGCCGCCGCCGCAGTCACAGCGCCGCTGGGGGCGCCAGCTTGCACGCGGCAGCTGGCGCGCGGGAGGCTGTTCCTCCTCTTTCCCCTCGCGCCACCAGAGGTAAGAACGACGTGCGCAACAATGCAGGCTCTCCACGACCCTGGCGCCAGAGCGCCTAAACGAAACGCAAAGGTAACATAACCGCGTGAACTACTTGTGATGAGACAACGAACGCTGCAACTCAGGGCTGCGCCACAGTCGCCACGATAAGAACCTGGAATGCAAACGCAACCCCTGAGCGCCTGCAAGGAAAACCGCGCATGCCGTGATCCAGGCTAAGACGTGAGCAGCGCTTATGGTCTACATATGAAACGAACGCAACTGATCAAGCCAACCGAAACAAAAAGAACGCCCCAACGGCACAGGAAGCAAACGAAACAATAGCCCGGGCCTCCAAGAGAAAACACCACCATCTGGAGTTACCATGGAAAATCTCCGGTCCAGGCCCGGACCAATGACAACCCAAACAATGCAGGCCGCGACAAGGGCACAGCGATGCCCAGTCCGGGCCCAAACCGAGCAACAATGTTGCTCAGTCCGGGCCCACGCCAAACGAAACGCAACCAGGCCGGGCCAGGACCGGACAACGTTGTTGCTCGGTCGAGATCCCTGCTGCTGAGAACGCTGGTGTCGCAACGACAAAGGAGCAGACATGGCCGAGGAGAACGCCGAAGGACCGGGGAACACTATTGCTCGGCGGACATACACAGCCCAGAGGCAACGCCACTGCACCGGGCAACGACGTTGTCCGATCCAGACAACACCGGGCAACGACATTGCTCGATTCAGGCCCCACCGGAGAACAACGTTGCCCGATCCGGGCGCCACCGGGCAAAATCATTGCTCAGTCAGGACCACCCCCGGGCCCAGACCGGGCCAAACCGGGCAATACCATTGCTCGGTCAGGCCTGATCGACCAATACCATTGCTCGGCCAGGCTACCGAGCAATGACATTGCTCGGTGGCATCGTTTTTGAGCCGAAACCAGGTCGAAGGAAAAAAAACAAACATAAAAAAAAAAAAAAAAAAAAAAAAAAAAAAAAAAAAAAAAAAAAAAACATTCAAACAAAAAAAAACTTCGTGACAATTGCAACCACGCAGCGCCGACACCGCGCATGCATCGCGTTAAACCTATGGCGCTGAAACAGTTGCGGCGATCGTGGTAGTTCTGTCTGCATTGCTGTGCAATTGTTCTGTTACTCTGGTGACGCCGCCTCCATTGCTGCTTTTCTCTCCTGAACTTTCCTCCTCCTTTGCGTCGTCGTCTCGCTTGCTGTCCTCCTCGTGTGTGTGTCGTCGTCCTCCTTCTTCGCGTCGTCGTCTCGCTCGTCATAGCTTCGCTTCATCCCATCCTGTCCTCCTCCTTATGTCTTCCAAACTCGCCGCCTCCTCTTCTTCGCCTCCTCCCCTCCTAACCCTATCGTCTTCCTGCTCCACTCCTCCATCTGTGTTCGTGCGTTCGTCGCGCGGTGATCCTCGCGTGCCCCTCTGTCGTCGCGATTCGTTGCCGCGCCATTCCCCTCCTGCCTGTCGCCCCCCCCCCCCCCTCCTCCCTGCCCGCCGCGCGCGCTGCAGGCTGCGCCTTGTACATCGTCATCTGCTGCGGGGACGCGCGGGGGCTCGCGGCGTGCAGGACCTGCTTCTCGGGGGAAGTGGGTTTGGGATTCCAAAGTTTGGGATGAGGTGCAAGGGCGGGGGGAAGGATGAGGAGGGCGCGAAATGAGGCGGCAGAGAAAATCAGCGAGGAGGAGGGAGAGGATGATAAGGCTGATGATAAGGATGAGAAGAAGGACAATGAGCAAATGAGGAGGGTCTGGGGGCGACGGCGATGCGGCATGGGGGGCAGACGGACGGCGACGCGCAGGCGTGAGGAGGGGGAGATGGGGAGAGGAGACTGAGCATGAGGAGTGAAGGACCAATGAGGGAGGAGGAGCAAACTGAGGAAGAAATGATGATGAGGAGGGTAATGGTGAGAGGAGGGTGCGACGATGAAGGAGATGAGCAGAATGAATACGAACAGCGGCAAAAGAAGGAGGAGAGGGAGGGGGAAAGGTGGGATGATGAGAATGGTGATGATAATGAGTGATGGTCGCGGTCTGGGCTCTGCTCGATGCTTGCCGCCAGGATGGCCCTCTCCAAGCTGAAGGGCGGCTTTCAGTCGAGCTCGTTATTCGACGACTCCTTGGGCGTGAAGCACATCCGTGAGATGTTCGAGCCCGACACGCTGGACATGGAGATCCTCGCAGCGATCGACGCGAGCCCGGCGCTTGTCACGGGCGACCTCCACTTGCAGCTCATCACGTCAGTGGGCGATTGGGCTGTGAAGCGGCACGAGCTGAACCAGCGAGGCCGACTCTGGACCCATCGGGGGAGGGGGGATGAGGGATGAGGGGAGGAGGAGTGGATGAGAATGGGAGATGGAGGACCATAAGAACTACATCAGACGCATGACAGACTGAGGATGGAAGAACATGGGAGGAATGGCGAGGACGAGGAAGAGACAAAGGATAAGGATATAATACCGAATGGACCGAATGACAGATATGAGGAGGGGGGGCATGCCGAGGAGGAGGGGTACGATAATCGAACAAAAGAGATGGCACGAGGAAAGTGGAGGACATGATGATAATGAAGGACATGGTGACGCGTGCAGCGATGGCAGGACATGGGAGGATGATCTGAGGATCTAGGAGAGGGAGGATATGAGGAGGATTAGGAGAAGGAAGATGGGAGGAGGAGGAGGATGATATAGGAAGAGAAGGAGGGATAATATGAGAATGGGGCCCGCCCTAGGGGATCGCGCCAGTCAGCTCCAGAGGAAGGAAAGCGTCGAGACGGTAGGGATCCTCTGCGAGCTTCGAGGCGGAGCTTGGGTGATGCAGGCTGGTGAGGACAAGCCAGAGCATTACAAGACGTTGCACTGGGCGACGCTGTGCGAGGGCGCAGAGCTGGCTTGGCGCGCAGACAAACACAAGCGGAACAGGGCCGTGCAGATGTCGGTGCAGAAGGGCATTCCCCACAGCAAGCTGTACAGCAGGAAGATCAATCGCGTCACGATCGAGTTCTTGGTGTACCTCGGCAACAACTTGAACACGCAGGTGACAAGCATCACGATGCTAGAGGTGTGGAGAAGCACTGCAGTGGTTGAGCCAGCTTGGGCGAGAAAGAAAAAGCAGGAGCGCTGGACCAACGAGTCGCTTGGCAAGCAGAAGGACACGGAGAAGTACAAGCTGATCAATTCGTTGTTCCCGAAGAGGTGGAAGGACATCCACAATTACAGGTGCAGCCAGCAGTTCTTCGACGCGGCGTCTAAGTGCAGGGTCGATTCGGCCACCTGGATGCACCACGACCTGGTTGGCCGTACCGTGTGGGACGGCTTGGTGGACTTGGTGCAGGCTGATGTGGATCTCACGCAGGTGATTAACCACGAGAGGGTCATGCGGGCGGTCAACGACGTGTTCAGGAGACACCTTGGAGCGTTAAAAAAAGGAGAGGGAGGATGAAGGGGGGTAGTAAGGACGGATATATATATATATATATATATATATATATATATATATATATATATATATTATATATATGCTGTGCTATGGAAGGGTGGGAGGGGGAACAGGAAGAGGGGGGGGGGCATGAGAAGGAGGAGGAGGAGGTGTAGAAGGAAGATGAGGTGGAAGAGGAGAATGATGGTGAGGCGTCAAGCCGTTCACGTTTGGGCTGCTTCTGGTCCCCATTCTCACCCCTCCTCGTTCGAACCCATCCTCTTCCGTCGCCTCACTGGCCTTTCTCAGAGCCGTTCTCGACTCGACAGACAACCGCCCCCCCCCCCCCCCCCCCCCCCCCCCTTGACCCTGCGACCCACGAGGACGCTCAAGGACGCTGCGCCCATGAAAGAGATCATCATTGATGTGGTGGCCCTCTACATGCCGAAGCTCGGGGGCAACTGGGGCGAGTGCTCGCTCTGTCCGGAAGGGGTGCCTGTGATCACCAAGGCCAACGCTGACGCGGACCGCGGGGGGGGGGGGGAGAGAGAGAGTCCAAGCAGTGAGGGGCCATATGATGCCCCGTCGCCAACATCGGAACTTGTCCGACTTGAAGGGTCCGACTTGTCCTTGGGATGGGGGGTGGGACATCTGGGGGATCAACTGCGGCAACCAGCCTGATTGGCATCTGATTGGTCTGAAAGTGAATGGGTGAGGGGGTGAGGGGGGCAGGAAGAGGTGGGGGTGGAGGAAGGATGAGAGGATGAGAGGATAGAGGAAGTGGGTAGTGGTGGTGGGCGAAGGAGGGGGAGGCAGGATCCCATGGACCATGGAGAAGGAGAGGGCGGCAGCGGGACCTGCCCCCCACCTGCCACTTGGCGCCGAGGACTGTCTCAGGCTGCTGGTGGACATGAACGAGTCCAAGGCCGTGGCGAAGACGGCTGAGGACCGCCTGCAGCATGGGTCAGAGTCAGCGGTGAGGAAGAGGGGAGAGTAGGAATAGGAGAGGATGGAGGGAGAGGAGGAGGAGGACTGAGGAGGAGGTGCGACGAAGGAGGACAGGAGGGGGGCAGAGGAGGAGCGAGCGAGAAGGCGGAAGAGCAGAAGAGGATAAGGGGAGAAGGGAAGGGGGAGAGGACAATGCTGAGGAGGGGGAGAGGTGGAATGCAAGATGGCGATGGAGGAGACGCGCAACTTGATGGCCAGGAGGCGAGGGGCTCAAGAAGAGGAGTTTGCAGGATGAGAGGATGAGATGAGGAGGAGGAGCGACGGGTAGGCTCTGGGAGCGCGAGGGGGGATCCATGCAATCCATGCAGGAAAACAAGAAGGTGGCCCGCAAGATCGAGGCCATGGCAGGCAAGAGCAACATGAAGCGCAAGGCAGAGGCCAAGAAAGTGATCAAGCAGGCGAATGATAAGAAGCTGCAGGACAAGGTGAAGGAGAAGCTCCACAAGAAGCTGATGAAGCGAGTAGGCAAACACCACATGAAGCAGGCGAAAGAGAGGATGAAACTGGAGAACGAGGACACGCCCAAGGACGACACGACGGCGCAGGGCAATCGCACGTGGCTGCATCACTTGCTGGAGACAGAGGCCTACCTGCTTGGGCTGGCTCCGAAGGGGAAGGACTGGCTCACCCGAACTCCGTGCCCAATATACTCCCCTACCACCCCTCCGAAACATCCAACTTGCCCTCTGGTGGCGGATGGGGGGGGGGGGGAGGAGGTGGAGGAAGTTGGAGGAGAACGAGGAGGAGGACAGGGAGACGGAGGAAGACGAGGAGGAGGAGTCGGAGGAGAAGGAGGAGGCGGCTGCAACACCCACAGCTTCGCTCCTCTCCTAAGGAAGCGATCGTGAAGCAGAAGCTCGAACAGTTTAGGAAGGTTGCCATCTACGCCAACTTGATGGACGGGGTCTGGGTCACCGTTAAGGGCGATCGGAGGCTCTGCACTCGCTGGGGGGAAGTATGAGTGGGAGGAGGGTGAGGGCTCAGGAGGGGAAGCCACATGGAGACGGAAGGGGAGGAACGATCAACGCGTTCGAGGGGAGGTGGACGTGGCAAGGATGAGATAATAACAGTAGCAATGGGTGCAGGGTAGGGTGGAAGGAACAATGGGCAGCGCCCCTCCCTTACAGAGTACAAGCGGAACTTAGGGCGCAGGGCGCGCCTCCAGGCCCCCCCCCCGCCCCACCCCCCACCCCCGCACCCTGGAAGAGAAAATGGAACCGAGTCCGGGCGTCCAGGGTAACGATGCATCCGAGTCCAGGGCGAATGTCGGCGCGTGGGAAGTGGCGGCGGGAGCGCAGCAGCAAGCCAGGCTCGTGAAGGGCTGGTCCACGCTGCGCTCGTACATGAAAAAGGACATCTTCGGCTGGGCGCAGCTCCAACATCGACCGAGTGATGAGGGCGCTCTTGACTTCAAGGACGAGCACGATGCAGAGGCAGACGAGTTGGCCGAGGCCGCCAATTCCAATCTCCATCGTCATTCCTTGGGGCACTGCTGTTCCTAAGCCCTCATGCTCTCGCTGCCTCGCTTCATGTGGGCACCCCTCCCTCCTCCTCCCTCTCCGCCTCCTCCTCAGCTTCCTTCTCCTCCCCCAACCCTCCCTCATCCTCTTCCTCCTAGCCCCCTCTTTCTCCTCCTCCTTCTCCTCCTCCACCTTCTCCGCCAGACTTTCTGCCGCTGCTCCATCCTTGCTCTCCTGCCAATCCCCCCCCCCTTCCTCAGCCTCAAGCCTCGGCAGCCTCGTCGAGCGAGGCGCTGGAGATCTCCGCCACAGTCGACGCGGGCCCCAGCGAAGAGGACCTGATCGAAGCGGTCAATGATGCCAAGGAGCGGCTCGCTCTCCATTCTATTCCTCGTTATCCTGATCCTGAGCCTCTTCCCACCTCCCTCCCCCTCCTCCTTTCTCTCTCTCTCTCTCTCTCTCTGACTCTCTCTCTCCTGCCCCCCCTCCCCCTTCTTCCCGTTCGCCGTTCCCTTCTTCCCCCCCTCCTGCTTATCCTCATCATGCTCCTTTTCCTCTGCCCCCTCCTTGTCCGACCCACCACTCCATCCCTCCTCCATTTTCCTCCAGCTCAGGATGCGAGTCACTCGGTGAGTACATGTTGAAGCATCGGCCCCTGTTCGTGACGATCGCAGCGCAGACGTGCGCGGCCGAGGCGATGAATCGCACGATGACAGGGGTCTTCACCCACTTGTCCTCCACGGGCGGCACGCTGGGCACCCAGGAGGAGGCCATGAGCTTGCTCTTGCAGCAGGCCTCGCTGATGAAGTGTCGTTGTCGACGTGGCTGTCGCCGACGTTCCCTTCGTCGAGCGCCCCCGACGGCGCCGTCAGCGTCGACGGCGACGTGGCGACGATTGCGATGGCGACGACGACGAAGACGGGCACGGCGACGTCGTCGGCAACGCTGAAGCTCAGACAGGCGGCCGACAGCGTGATGAAGACCATGCCCGACTCGTTCGTCAAGGCAGCCGCGATCGTGGAGAGCATCAAGAAGCGGCAGGTCGGCTTGGGGGTTCTGCCAGGCTGCGTCGGCAAGCTGCTGGACCCAGAGGTCGTCTCGAGCCACGGATTATCGGTCAACCTCGTGCACGTCTTGAGGACGCACATGTGGGCGTACATCGCCACTAGCATCGGCTCCAGGGAAGGAAGACCGATGAAGCCCATCCCCTCCTTGGCTCACCTGCGCCCTTGCTCAGTACTCCCCTGTGATCCCCGACCCAACCCAATTGAAGGCCCCGCCCGCCCCGCCGCCCAGCCCAGTTCGGGGAGAGAGGCTCGAGGAGGGGCAGGCCCCAGAGTAGCAGACGCAAAGGCTCGAGCAAGGCAGGCGGGCAAGGGGGAGGTTGGCGGTAGGAGAGTGAAATGGGGTTTGCCGATACTTTGGAAATAAAGGGTTGGTCCCGAGGTGGTGGCCCTCTTGAGCTCGTGGGCCTCTGTTGGCCAATCGCTGGGCCCCCCTGCGCCCTGGGGCCGCTTCTGGCGGCGCCTGCCCAAGGCAACGTGGAGCGGGAGGAGGAGGGGGAGGGGGGGGGGAGGAAGAGGGGGAGGAGGGGGAGGAGGAGGAGTTGGAGGTTCTTTCTTAGAACTCCCATGCGACCCTGAAAGGTCAGCAGCAGTTCCTCTGCAGGGGCGCCCACGCAGCAGGGCTCAAGACGTACTTGACGCCGTTGTGCCACAAGCTGCTCGACCAGCTGGGGCACCAGTACAACCCAGTTGTGCAGCCTGGAGTGTTGGCCGACATGCCGAAGGAGGTTGTCGACCTCGTCGGTCAGAAGGACGGCGACTGGGTCGCCGCCATGGCGGAGTTCGGGAGCATGGCTTGCAAGCTGACGCAGGACATCACCGCAGCTGACCCTGGTGGGTACGAGCGTCGGCGCCAGCTTCTCATTCAACGGATTGGGGCTGCGGACACTCCGCAGGCGCTGAACGATCTCTTCTGCGACACGTCCCTGTTCAAGGTGGCCCCGAAGACCTTGGAGGACTCAGCGGCGCTGCTGGCATCCGAGAAGGAAATGATCCGCGTGCAGGCCCTGGCGCACTTCAACGAGGACAGCTTGTGCTTAAATGACTGGGGCAAGGTGGGTGAGGTAAATTACATGACGGGATGGGTAGCTAATGGGTAGGGAGGACTGAGTCCGAGTCAGGCTGGGAAGAGGGGGGATGGACACATGAGGGGAGAGGATGGGGCAGGAGTTAGGGAACAAGCCAGGCACGGCAGGAGTCCGGATGGCTGGGTGCACGGAGGAGAACGCGAGGAGCCCGAGAGGACTGGCGAGGCAAGGAACGGTTGGAGGTTTATGAATGAGCTTCCCCTCCCCCCCTTGGCAGGAGAACAAGGTCGCCTTCAAGGCGGACATGCAGATGGCGAACATCGCGCAGAGCTTCAAACAGATGGTCATCGATCGCCTGAGGCGCGAGCGGCGGAGGAGAGGATGGGAAATTGATGGGGGACGTGAGGGAGGTCAGGCGCGGTGACGAATGACGAGAGGGTGAGGTTGTGGCGACGGAAAGGAGGAGGAGGAGGGAGGATGGGGTTGGCAGGAGGAGGCTGCGAGGTGAGAGGAGAGGAAGCGGAGGAGGATGCGAAGTCACGAGGGGGTCGGAGAGAGGATGAGTGAGGTAAGGGAACGGAAGATCACAGGAGCAGGCGGATCTGGTAATTTGGTCTCTCACTCCCTCGCCACTGCTCGAGTGCTCGCTGCGCTTCGCTGCGCCCCTCCTCGGTCTTACATCCCCCTCTCTCTCATCCACCCTCAATGCTCGCTGCGAGGCCGTTGCAGTCGCCAGATGGCGCTTGCGCCGCCAACGTGCGCAACGGGCTGATGATCAAGGACTCGGACTCGCTGATCCCTGTGGAGGGCCCCGACCAGAAGCGCGCGCGGCTCGAGCAGAAGTACAGCGTTCTCCCCAGGACCCTGAACTACGAGGTCTGGTTCGATCTCATGAAGAAATCGGAGGTGCTCGCCTTGTAATTCTAGTGCCATGCCTTTGCTATGCTATTCGATCCTCCTTCTCTGACTCGTGCTCTACTCAACTCTCCAACTCGATTCTCGACCGAGCCTCGCTCGAGAAAGGTTGCGGCTGCTGGCGGCGACGAGAATCAGGCGGTGACGACTCTCCTGAAGAAAGCGCTGATGGCGGCGGTCACCAATCAGCTGTGGCCCATCGCCGTCGACATGCTGGAAGGCGGCCTGCAGGGCGACCTCGCTGCGAGGGAATCGCACAAGAAGGAGGACGAGGTAAAGGAGGTAAGAAGGTATGAGAGGTATGAGGACGATGGCGAGGAGGAGCACTAGGAGGAAGCACTGGAAGAGGACGAGGGACGATAGGTCGACGACGAAGAGGCGGAGGAGTGGAGCGTGGGGCAGCGTGGGGGAGAGGAGGGAGGGTGAAGAGCGGCATGGACGGATCACACACGGCAGGGGGACGGCGATGAGGAGGAGGAGAAGGAGGGGGAGGAGGAAGAGGAGGAGGAGGAGAAGGAGGATGAGGAGGAGGAGGAGGATGAGGAAGAGGAAGGGGGGACGGAGGAAGAGAAGGACTGAGAAGGACAAGGACGGAGGCAGAAAGCAAGAGGAGACGAACGGAAAAATGGGAGGAGGAGGATGAGAACTCTGGGCCTCGTGGCCCCACGGTTGGAGGGCGGTGGCCTTTGCCGCGACCGCTGGTTCCTGGGTTTCTTTTCTCGCCCCAGGGCTTTCCTCGCTTCTGGTCGGCCCCCCGAGGTGTTCAGGCTGGGCCCTCCGAGGCCTTTTGCGGGGAAGTGGGGGTGGGGGATGGGAGGGGGGCGCCCAGAGGACTGCCCAGAGAAAGGCACGAAGTGGGACGTCGTCCGCGTCAAGGGCGCAGGCGACGGTGAGACGCCCACCCAGTTGGCCTACTGGGGGCGGGTCGTGGACGCCGAGACGGCCGCCCAGCTGGGGAAAGGTCTTCCGATCCCTTCCTTCTGTCACTCCTCTCTTGCCCTCTCCGCTCCATCGCCCATTCACCTCTCCTACTTCAGCTTCGTGAGGTGATTGTTTCAACTCGGCCTTGCCCTCATTTTCCTCCTCATCACCCCCCTCGCTCATTCTCCTTCTTTTCCTGCTGCTTCCCCTCGCCTCGCCTCGCCCTTAATCCCCCGCTCCTCCTCCTCATGTTCCTCCTTCTGCCTCCGTCCTCCCCTTCTCCCTGGCACCCCTTCACCTCCCCCCCCCAGCTCCTCCATTTGTTTGCTCCTCATTCTCCTCTTCCTTCCTCCTCTCTCCTCCATCTCCCCCTCCTCCCGCCAAGTGAACTGCATCTCGCTGAACGGCGTTGACGACGACGGCTTGATGGAGCAGTGGCACCCCAAGCTCTACCTCGACGGGTCGCAGCACCGCAACCCCTTGAGGACCGATTGCTGCCTGGCGTGGTTGCCCGAATTCAAATGTCGTTCCAAATTGCCCGACCCTCAAGCCCCAATTTCGACATGGCAGGCCCCTCCCCCCAGGACCCAGACGGACTCAGACTGAGACTGAGACTGAGGCCCTGAGGCCCTGAGGGGCTCAGGACTCAGACCCACGCCGCTCCCCCGCTCCCCTTAGGACCCAAGGGCTCAGACTCAAGGGCTCTGGGGCCCAGCGGAACCAGGGCCCTGTTGCTCGACCTTCTTCTTGCCTTTCCTAATCTCATTATCCTCTCCCTGCTCAGCCTTGTGTTCCTCCACTCCTCTTCTCCTTTCCTTTCCTTCCTCGGACCTTCCTCCTCCCATGCCCTCCTCCCGCTCGCTCCCTTTACTGATCCTCCTTTGGCGCTGGGCCCACAGCAGGTGGAGCCGGTGCCGAAGGCCAAGCCGAAGACCGCTAAGTCGAAGGCCAAGGCTGCGGTCGCCGCCTGATGGCCGCCGAGGCAGCGCCGTCGCCATGGGGGGCGGCCTCGGCGTACTTCTGGCGCACCCCTCACTCCCCAGTCTGTCTGTCTCCACGATCCCACTTGGACCCCACGTTCTATTCACTTGTTTCACTCCCTTTCCTCGTAGCCCTGTTTATCGCGCATCCTGTGCCGCTTGTGTCATCGTGAATCCTCCATCCCCCCCTCCTCCCCCCCCTCCTGTCCGAACTTCTGCTCCTCTCTTCCCCCTCCTCTTTCTCCTCCGCTCCTCCTCGTCCTTCTTCTCCTCATCCACCTCCGCGCCACTCTCCTCCTCCCCCCCTGGGGTTCTGGGGCGCACCGAAAGAAACATCGAGGGATCCCTGGGTGAGACGGCGAGCGAGGCCGAGTGGCGCCGCTAGGTCCGGGCTGGAGGCTCACTGGTCGGGGCTCGGAGAAACGAGCAAACGGGTCTAAGTTCGAAGTGATGGGAAGGGGTGGAGGGAGAGAGGGGGAAAGGGGGAGAGAGAGAGAGAGAGAGAGAGAGAGAGAGAGAGAGAGATAGACAGAGAGATCGCAACCTCCCGAGGCTGGCGGCGAGGAGGAGACGAGCATCACGAACGTGTCGAAAAAGGAGGAGGCAACGGCGACCCACTCGGTGACGTGGGTATCCGCGTCGGTCGAGGTGGGCAAACAGCACTTTCAGTACTGGTACCCCCGCCTGGTCACGATCGCCGACGTCGAGATCTACGGCGATCGGCCGCAATCAACTCCACTGCCCAGCAACGGGGAAGGAAGTATGAGGAGGGAGGATGGGAATAACTTTGAGAAGGAATGGAGGAGCACGCACGAGTAGAAGTAGGAGTGGGTGAGTAGGACAAGGAGGAAAGGAAGGAATAGGAGGAGGGGTTCGAGGAGGACATGCAGAAGGAGAGAACTCACTGGATCAGTGGGAACATGAGGGCACTCCTTCCCCTGCCGTAGGCAAGAAGTGCTACCGCGCCTGGACGAAGTGGGACGGGGTGAACCTCCAGCCCAAGGCGAAGGCGGAGGCCAAGGCCAAGGCGGGCTTCGCCAGCAAGTGAGGCCATGTGGGGGGCTCCATCTCTTTTCAACCACCCTCCTCCCTGCTTCTCCCCACTCTCCTCCCTGCTTCTTGCTCGCCATCTCTCCTATTCTCCTCCCTGCATTCCCCGCTCTCCTCCCCACTCCCTCCCTGCTTCTCCCCGCTCTCGTCTCTTGCCCCCATCAGATTCCCCCTCACCTGCAAGGGAAGCAGTGGAACAAGGAGAATGAGCTGGAGGATCGGTGGTAGGGGGAAGGAGCAGGTTACCAGGTTGATGGATCGCGAACGAGGAAAAGGACAATGGCGGTGGAGGTGGATGGATGAGGGGAGGGGGGACTGAGAGCAGGGAGACGGAATGACAAGAGGGAGAAAGAGAGAGAGAAAGAGAGAGAGAGAGAGAGAGAGAGAGAGAGAGAGAGAGAGAGAGAGAGAGAGAGAGAGAGAGAGAGAGAGAGAGAGAGAGAAAGAGAGCGCCGCCCCGCGGGAGGCTGAGAAGGCCACCGTGGGCGAGGCGCTGCGGCCGAGCGCGCCCCCCGATGAGGCGGGGGATTCCAGGGCGTCTCGGGGCAACGGCGGTTGGGGGGGGGGGGCATTTTGCCAGTGGGTCTGGGGGAGCTTTGCTTAGATAGGCGTGCCCCGAATCAACTTGGAATCCCCCGCCCCAGCCCGCGCGGGAGCCCCTGCAGGGCGGCGCGCTGGGAGCCTGGCGCGCCAGTTCGGAGCGCCGCCACGAGCGGCATTTCGTGGCAGGGAGGGCGCCCTGCCAGAAAAACAACTCCCTTCCTGAGCCTCGAACCACTTGCCCCCCACCTCTCGTTGCCCGATATTTCCTGGAAGCTTTTGATAGCAGGAGCGCCACCCCACGAGACATCGTCGCAACTCTGGGGTCTGAGATGCCGCGCGCGAGGTGGTCCAGCCCGTTACGCTGGAGACATCCTCGCAACTCTAGGTTCCGAGATGCCGTTCGGGATGAAGAGGAGGTGGAGGAGGAGGAAGAGGAGAAGGAGAAGGAGATGGAAGGGAGAAGGAGGAGGCGGATGATGTGGATGAGGGAGCAGGCAGGAGGAGGGGGAGGAGGAGCAGGAGGAGGAGGAGGAGGAGGAGGAGGAGGAGGGAGAAGGAAGGGAGTTGCAGGAGAGGACCTAACGGGAAGCGAGTGTGACGTGGACTTGTCAGAACGTGTGCGAGATGTTGTCCTGCCCGTTTCGTTTGAGACATCCTTCCAATACTGAGCTGCAAGATGTTTCTCGCGAGGTGGTCTGGCCCGTTTCGATAGAGCCATCCTCGCAATTCGAGGCTCGAAGATTTTGCGCGCGAGATGGTCTGGCCCATTCTGCCTGAGACGTTTCGTAGCACAGGGGCTCCAATCACAACCTCTCTCATTCCTTCTCCCGCCTCCCTCTTCCCACTTCCTGCCTGGCTCCTTTTCCCTCCTCCCTCCTCCCGCCTCCCGCCTCCCGCTGCTGCGCCTCTGCCTCCGCCTCCCCGTCCCCGCCGTCGTCATTTCTGCCGCCTCAGCATCCGTCATGCGCGCACTGCCTTCCGCCCTCCCCAGACATCCGACGTCACGATTTTTCTTTTGAGACGTGCGCAGCGTACCTCTCGATATCATCCCCGGGGGATCCATCACGACATGCCCCCCCGCTTCCGCGCCCTCCCCCGGCTTCCTCTTACAGTTGCTTCCGAGTTCGCAGCATTGCGGTGGAGCCTCTCACAGTGCCGACCTGACAGCTTACTCGTCGACCAGGTGCGAGAGAGTACGACACCCTTTAGCGTTAGCTTCCACAAGTGCAAACATCTGCAATCATCTCATGTGCAAACATCATGCAATCATGTTCTAACATGCCATGCCAGTCCGCACTGGACGGGCACGCGATCGACCTTGGAAACCGCAGTGGGTCTAAAAACCCTGTTTGGGGATACTGCACTCCGGCTATAGTTTGCTGCTGTGCGGTTATTCCCCAAGCAGCTTGCTGAACGGGGTGCTGTTGTGATAAAAGCTAACTCCGGCCGAGGGAAGGGGAAGCAGAGACATCCTCACAAAAATCTGATGGCCCGGGCCGTTTCGCTTGAGACATCCTCACAACTCTCGTTTCTGAGTTGGCCGGGATTGGCCGTTTCGCCTGAGACATCCTCGAACAATTGCGCTCCGGGACGCCGCGCGAGAGGTGGGAAACTCTGAGCCCCGAGGTGCCGTGCGAGAGGTGGTCCGGGCCGTTTCGCTTGAGACATCCTCGAAATTCTGAGCTCTGAGATGCCTTGCGCGAGGTGGTCCGGCCCGTATCGCCTGAAACATCCTCGAAACTCAGACCTCGGAGATGCCGCGCGAGAGGTGGTCCAGCC